GCTTCCTGCGAAGAGCCCCTACCATTCCGATGCCGCTGCCAGATCTTCGAGTCCTGGATATGGCGGTCAATGGGATTGTTATTGGCTGTCTCTCTTCGTTGTAAGCCTCTAGGCCAGGTTGCTGCCTATAAATCTGACCGGCCACGCCATTTCGAACGTCAATTTTTTCCGTCTTGACGAACAAATATCGTGTCTGCACCCAGTCAACTTTCGGGACCACATAGTGTGGTGAAGCGCATCTGAAGCTGGCTCGGTCATTCACAATTTCCTGTAGGGAAAGCACTCTTGTAATTTTGAGCACAGAACCATGCCAACTGCTAATGGCAGAACCGAGCTCCCCAGTGTACTGCAAGCTTGTTCTTGCGTAGGGGCTCACATAGATACCATTTCCATATGACCTGCCGTGCAAGACTTCATCAAACCGGAGACCTTGTCGAATTATTGAATGCCAGTTGCCGATTGCACTTCCGTGCCACGCGAAAATGGTGGGATAATTGGTTCCGGTGGCTGACGCACGTTTCTTTACGTTGTTATTGAAGCGCTTTTCTTTGTCTGGAGCCCCTTGAGCGAAGCGGAATTGGATCCAGCTCTCCATCCCCCCCACACGGTCTTCAGGCTTCCCGCGAATTACCGCGTCGTCTTTGGTGCCAATGTCATCGACCTGCAAGATACAAGACCTGTTGGACGCAACAATCCAACGGAGAAGATTCAATGCCGGTGCCGAAATCCGGTCTGTCCATTTCGTTAAGCTGGGATCCTGGCTCTTTCCCTGACTCTCCAGATAGTGTCGCATCCTGATCACGGATGGCAGGGTATCCAGCAAGCTCATGATTGCATCTTCCTGGTGTTTTGGAATGAGATGGTCAAAGTTCTTGTCATACAAATAACAGTCCGCTCTGACGGGGAAGTCGTCTTCACCAGAGGTTTCAATGAGACTGCCAGAGTTTCCGATAAGCCCCGGGAATGGGATAGAAATAGGTGAATCGAGCCAAATTCGAGGAAATTCCACCTCCTTGACGCGACAATGAGCTGCAGTCTCAGTCTGGACACAGAGCAGTACAAGCCAGTCACCTGGCTTGAGTTTCTGAACCGATATGTTCTTCTCTTCATCTTGTTCGATCACCAGCTGCCTCAATTTCCTATACCACGTGCATGCAAAGGACTTCTCGTGGATTAGTGGTACAGCTGCTTTCGTTGACAGAGTTCCGGTATGGTACGGTGCAACGAAACGCGGAACTCTGGGACGTGGTGTGACAGGTACGACCAAGTTCATACCTATAGGAAACTCTTTGAGTCTGCCGCTACTAGCTGCTGCGTAGCATAAGCTGATCAGAACATCGACCACGTATGGCTGGACCATGATTTCCCACTCTAAACGAGGACCGAAACCGAGCGACATGTACTGGTACAGGCAGAGGGGCTTCAGGCAGACATATGGTTTAAGGGCTCCAAACCCTTCATCGACTCGGCAGTGGCACACGAGGCAGAATTCCGTGCATCGAACGAAATGCCTAAGGGAAAACTGCATAAGGATTAATGGCAAAGAAGCCTTTGCGAGTCGATTCTGGCGCATATGGTCTGCGACGACTATTGGGGGTAGGCCCCTCGCATGGGCGTCATCATCACAATGATAGGGTGACATGTCGTCAATGTTTGACAACGAAGATGTCTGTCTCTCGTTGATGAATTTCTCTGCACCGAGCCAGCTTAGCTGGTACAATTCTCGAGCCGAGATGATCTTGAAGACTCGTTCTTCGAGTAATTGGTTGATCGAATTCCCAATACACAATGCTTCGAATGCATGTTGATCGTTTGATCCAGCTTCGAGGCCGTTCGCTGAGGTCGCATTGTCCGACTTTGTGTACTGGTAGAGAGCGAGGACTTCGCGTAGGGAAGGTTTGTAGTGACTGCAAAGTCCCACGCGCATTTCCACAGAGTCCGACAGACCTCGTTCATTGACAACTCTGGTTGCGTCTAGATAGCCCCGTAAGTACCTGATCAGCAACAAGAAGTAGTGCCTTCGTGGCACATTCCATGCTTCGAGGGCTTCATCTGAGAGACCGAGTTTGGAGACTCGGATTGAAATGCAAAGAATCCCGCCAGAGGCAATGTTCCCAAAGACTCCAACGCGGAAGCCGGAATGCTTGAGAGCTGCAAGATCTGCGTGTACCTTTTCCGTCTTCTCATTGGGATCATCTAGCAAGCTGGTGGAGTCTGCTCTGATGTCGGAGTGGCGATCTGTGTCGCTAGCCTGACAGATACCCAGGTCAATGTCAGAGTCGCTCTCGAAATCGAAATCGAAATCATTCTCCTCCTTCACATGGTCGTCTCCGATATTTTCTTGGACATAGCCCTTTCCCGTGACTGAGGCCAATAGCTCCGCAATTTCAGTCAATAAGTCGATAACAGGCTTGCCATGGGCATGTTCAGTGACTTTGCGCAATGTTTCTGCAACGATCGGGTCGTGAGACGTGTCCTTGGTGTACAGCACAAATGAATTGCCGTCCGGGTATTCTCCTAGGTCGTTGGCAAACACTTCGATGGTCACTCGAAGGCTGCTCCCGGGATGGACATAGGTGAAGATAAACAAGCCCTCCTCCAGGCCACAAACGTTCTCGATGTTCTCGATTTTCATGCGGTTGGCGGCGGCCAAGTGGTTGAGGAAGAGTTTCCGGCCCATACTGGACGGAGGGGAGGGCCAGCGGGAGGTGGTTGTGTTGGCATAGAACTGAGATTCAAGGAACGAGTTGGAGGGTACGAGGAGGAGCTAAATTTGAGATTTACGCAATCGATTAATCCCACCACGACGGGATCGAGAGCAGTCTCAGCTTTTTGAAGGAAGCAGCTCAATGAGAGATACCACCGGCGGAGTGGAAGGGAGGCACTAGGGGGAAGCTAAGAGAAGAGAAGGCGGAGAGAAGACTGAAGGACGAAGAGGATCGAGGAAGTGAGAGGGAGTTGAAGACTGTGGCAGGGATGAAAAAAACAAGGCAACTGCGCAGACATGATGATTGTATCCGCACCCAGTGATTCAAAGTCGATAGGGCAGAGCGTAATAGAATCCGGCCGCACCTTCCTGGGTGAAGCGCAAGCATAGAGAACCCCATTAAAGAGAAACAGAAAAAGGGCACAGAGATTGAGCATTGTGCTGGTCTTCTCTTTCCACAACTATTCACACTCCCAGGTCTTGGAGAATTTTTGACAAAGGCAAGTTGACAGCAGACAGGAGTGCTATATTTGGTGTTTTCCTGCCTGCTGGCAGTCTAGCCCAAGAACCAGCTTCTGTCGCTTTGATAGCTGTCTTACCTCACAAAGTGGTAATTGCGGTTCCTCAAGACAATGGTTCTCCGATCTACGAATTTTCAAAAAACTATGAAGAAAGAAGATGATCAGACACTTGATAATCAGGGAGAACCACACAAGTCGTGCCAAGCCGATGAATGTTGTCGGTGTATAGTTATTCCGAGCCGACAGCACCACCACGAACGACAGAGATGGTCTTTGGTACCTAGACAATACCTGTCTTGTCCACAGCTTCTCATGGTCACAGATGGATGTTGGAGAATACGAGACCATCAGCCTAACAAGTCCACGGTGAACGGGAATTGGACGCAATCTTGACTCCACGCTTGAAGGTTCGGATTTATGTGATGCTGGCCACAAGACAGTCTTCAAGATCAAGATGCCTTCCCGCATAGACGCGGAAGAGCACAATGAACAGAATGAGGGCGGCAGTGGGCCGATGCTTGCGAAACTCAATCAGTCTCAATTTGACCCTGTCGAATTCCTGAACGATTCACTACCCAACCTAAGTCTGTCGTCTCAAACCCAGCTTTCAAAATCCAGCAGGTCTACACAAATCCAGAGTGCCTCGACCGAGTCACTTGCACTCCTCACTTCGCTCAACACAATCTCGATCCGTGCTTCCTCAGAGTTGACAAGTTTAACGGACGAGATCATCCGCAGTGGAAATCGTCTTGCCTATGAGGTAGAGGTGCTTCGTGGTGATGTGAATGGGTTCCACGAGCTGTTGAGCGATTCACTACGGGATGATATTCGCCAATTTGTCATTGATGAGGTTACCAGTATAGAACCACCAATATCAGGTTCGGAGATTGATGGCGGCGACTCATTGCAAAAAGCGCAATCAGAGAGCGAGCCTGACTTCATGACTCGACTACGATTGCTGGGCAAAGTGAAAGCACGTCTCGAGTCTGTGGTTAATATTTTTGGCGAAGCAATGAAATGGCCAATACCTCCCTCTGAATTGTCCATGGCATCATCTCTCATATCAGTCTCTTCACCTGAGTTGGGGATTCAAAGCACGGCCGAAGATGACAAGGCACGTGAGGCATTGAAAAGCATTCGGGCAGAAATTGACGAACTACTTGGGCCAGAACCAGCCGGGTATGCTGGCCTTGAAGCGGCCACCCAAAGGGTCGAAGAGTACAGACAGCTTGCAATACTCTGGAAGGGCACTGGTGAGGAAAAGGCCAGAATCAAATTTGTTGATTCATTGATTAAACTGGTGGAGGACAGGCGGAAGACACTGGATGCACGACAACGGGCTCGAAATTCCAAGGCGGCTAGTTCTGTACGATCAAGTTCCGCCATGGGTAGGAATCCGAGAAGCTCAAATGAGGGAAGTGGTGGTGCAGCCGGACTGTTTCGGAATCTGCAGCGCTTGAAGGACGATCTGTATCTCGAATGAGCTCTGAAGTCTTAGACCAGACCGACACTGGCAAATCTTTGCAATGAAAATTGAATTCTTTTCATATGAGCCCTACTCGCGTCATCCATTGCACCTTCACCAGTGCAGGTAAGAAGTCCTCCTCAACAAGCACACGCTGCTTTGGCTGACCTCAAAACCGCTTGAAATAGGGTCTGGTTCATTCAAGTTGCAATGATCCCTGCCTTGCGCAAGCCGCATGTCTAAAGTTCCCTGTCGCTGCGCACCGTGGCAAAATGGTTTCTTCAAGGCATATTGCGTAACCCCACACTCAAAATCTCAAAGGCGTGAAGAACCATCTGTTCTTGCCGCTCAGGTATCTCTCCTCCAAGGCCTTCTTGACGTTCTTCTTGGCATCCTCTCTTTGGGAGACCTCCTTGAATGTGTCGTTCGAAATGACACTCTTCAGTCCTTCGAGTTCTAGCGTGTATCGTGTAGGCATGATGTGGTTGTAGTTGATCATCTTGATGAATGGCTTGACTTTTGATCGTTTCTCCATTCGTTTTTTGCCCATGCGGCGAGTGACTTTCGATGGGTAACGCTCGATGCCTGCGACGAGGGCGTAGGAGAAGGGATGCTGTTTCGTGCCAGAGTCCTGGGGCTGGATGATGACAACCTGTAGACGAAGCGTCAGACCTTCGTTTTCTTTTCATGCGTAAATGTGTTGTTTCTCCCATACCTTCTTTCCGGCATACCGGCCTCGAGTGATGATCGCCACGCGGCCGACCTTGAGAACTGTTCCGTGTGTTATTATTGTCGCAGAATTGAGTGTATGCGACTTTACTTACACTTCATCTTGAGGTCCGACTTTCGCGCTTGAAAGATGTGGTTGAATAATAGGGAGAGGTTGAGGCCGCAAAATGCTTAAGTCGCTCGTTCGATGCTGAATTGCTCAAAAATTAGTCTTGGCAGAGTAGGGTTTTCGAAGTCACGTGTCACATCTGTGGTCGAGCCAAGCCGCGCGATAAATGCCCGTCTGACACGTCTGACAGGGAGAATACTCGCTAGCACCTGTTGCTATGACCCCAAGCAACGCAGTAAATAGTGCAAGACGCTGGCCATCATCTTGTTGAGGTGCTACCGTCAGATGGGCGCGCAGTGTACAAATTGACAGACTATATGACTGTCACCAAGATAATTTTCCTTGTCATAACTATGGGGTCTCTTTCTAGCATCTAGGGACCCGCGCTTTGGTGACCGTTACACGTTTCTCTCCGCCCCCTCTCCTGCAGAGGCAGGTCAACCGATCCGTCCGTTAGCTTTGTTTACATCCCGATTTGTCTGGCCAATCATAAGTGCACTGCGACCCGACGTCAACTTGTGCCAGCACGCCAGCGCCAAAGTCTCCTCCTTTCACCGTTATACTAGCATCCTTGAGTTTTATGTGCTTTTGCGTCTTGTTTGCTTGCTGAATTTATGCTGGTACACACTGGAGTATGTGAAGTGCGTTATGAGTACTGCAGCTTCAGTTTGATTGACAAACATTCTTCCCAAAAATTCCCCGGACAAAGGCATTGACCATGTCCACTTATTCCGCCAGTTCGCGGGACGCCTCTCGGGACCGTGCTGAGTCTCGAATCGTCAAGCATCAACATTCATTCTCAGAGTCAGGCAGAAGCTCGGTGCCCATGTGAGTCCTTGCCTCCTTTCGAAATACCATCAGCAGATACTGACTCGTGGACAGGTGGGATAGCTCAGATCCCGATAGAGCACCTCCACCACTTCCATTGAATCCTGGAGTTCCAGGAAGCCCTCTGACTAGATCTAATACATCAAAACGCATTGACGAAGCTGCTGCCCTGATCGCCGCCCGAGCACGAGAAAATGCCCCCAGCTCCTACACAAGCAACCCTCCTCCGACGTCACCAGACAGGAATGTCATACGAGCACAAAACAGGCGAATGCAGAACCTGCAGAGCCCTGGAATAACTAGATTGAGCGATTCATTGGAAAGGCGATCACCAGAAAAAGGCCTTCGCACCGCAAAGTTCGTCGATTTCGAGGATTTTCCCAGCAGCAGAACGTCAGAGCGCAGTCCCACGAGACCAAGATCAGAAACCCCAACACCTACCGAGAAGAGCTCCGCAAGGTCAAAAGAGAGCGAGAACACACCGCCTTCATCGAACATGCTAGCGCTGCAGACAATTAGAACTAGGCAGGATGCCACGCCTCTTGGTGACATAACAAACGGAGCTTCACCTTCGATGCCAACATCCTACTCCTTTGATGCACTGTCTACTCAGATTTTGAGCTTAACGTCAATCATCACAAGTGTTCAAAAAGAGATGACGAGCCTGAATAAGAGAAGTAAAGACAACTATGGCGACCTGATGAGCCTCAAGGAGGCTACAACGGCCAGGGATGAAGACATCCGCAAAAGCCTCAGAGAGCTTATCGCAGGCCTTGAAAGCAAGTTCACCAATCTCGACTCTCGGCTACTTGCTGCTCCTCCCGATGCCACCAGATCAGCTTCCAACTTGGGGATGTACTTCGACGACAAGGCACACAATGGCTCGCCCCGCCCCAAAAGCCTCGGCCTACCGCGTATTGGAAGCCCATCTAGCTTCTCTGCTTCTCTTGATCGCGAGTTGACCGCCTCACCGTCTATTACATGTGTTGACGGTGCTGCAAGCATTGCTCTCCTCGAGAAAGTTCTCAGGGAAATGGCCACCCGCGAAGGGCAAGATAAAATAATGAGCACCCTCGAAGCAGTAAAGTCACAAGCTCTCGTGCGAGCGCATTCAGATACCCCTACTTCGACTGCCTTTGACCCCGCCATGATGTCGAAATTGGAAGATATCCTTGTGTTCATGAAGGACATGAAGGAGGAATCTGGTTCACGCGCGCTAGTACGCTCGAACGGCAATGACGGTAGCAAGGGCCCCTCAAACCTTGATCTCTATCTCGAAGGGGAAGCGAAAATGGGTAAAGCAAGGTCAGGTGCTGAAGGTCGAGCGTCGGTGTCAGCGTCCGACTCAGTCGTTGACGACATTGTCACAATGCTGAAGAGTGTCAAGCAATCATTGGCCCAAGGGGGCGGGCTCACGAATGAAGTCAAAGTCTTGGTTCGAGAGCTACGAGGAGAGGTCTTGGGAATGGGACGAGAACTCGCAAAGAAACTGGAGCAAACGTCATTGCCAATAAAAGGTGCTGGTCCGGAAACACAAGCAGCAGTGACAGATGAGATCGCTACCATTGTGCAGCAAGGGCTTGCTGAGCTCAAGGAACACATGCATCACATTGTCCAGGAAAGCGGGAGACGATCGGCAGAGCACGTCAATCCGGCAGTCGACACGCAAGAAGTCGTGCGGGCCGTTCGTGATGTCCTTGCAGATTTACCTCAGCCTCGTGAACAACCACTCCGAGACCCCGTGGCTGAACGGGAAGAATTACTCATTGCCGTTAGAGAGGCTTGGGAGGACTGCAAACCCGAAATCGCACTCGAACATTTCGGACTAGAACGAGATGAGATCTTGGAGACGTTGAAGGAGGGGTTGAAGTCGTATCAACCGCAGCAACCCAGTGCAAAAGATGCCGGCGCCACTTACGAAGACGTGCTCGAGGCCGTCAGAAAGGGCCTAGCAGACTTTGAGCTTCCTCCCATTCCCGCGCCAGCTGGGATTACTCGGGAAGATGTCTTTGCTGCTGTCAGTGAGGGAATCAAAGGTATCGAATGGCCAGACATGTCTGCATCCCGGGGTATAGACATTGACCTCACCAAAGACGATGTCTTCGAAGCTGTGCGAGAAGGACTAGCGCAACATGACACCGTCACCAGAGATGAGATAAGTGACGCGGTCAAAGAAGGCCTTTCTCAACATGACCGTGTTGCCAAAGAGGTCGAATTCAATCGCGAGGACCTGTTTGACGCCATCAAATCTTGTCTGGAAGGCGAACAAAATCCCTTGGGAGGAATGGGCGAACGAGTCATCGAAGCGATGCATGAGTTCCTCGGCAGCATGAAAAACGAGTTCCAGCAATATTCAGCGGCAAATGGTAAAGACACGGAACAGGTGCTCGATGCGCTCAAGGACGGATTGGAGGACCTAAGAGCCGACATAGAAAGCTACGTTGATCGTGCTGCCGATGTTACTGGCAAAGACGAGATCATCGACACAGTTAAGGCTGGATTTGTTGCAATGCAAGCAGACCTCGACAAAGGCTTTGCGGCACGCGGAAACGGAGCCCCGAACACACCTGAACTCTTGGACGCCATGGAGAAAGAATTCGAACATCTTCGTGAGACTATCAGCAAAAACATGGCCAGGAATAATGCTCTGTCCGAGAAGGACGAGATCCTCGATGCTATTCGTGACATTGCCGACGATCGCCAATCGAGCCTCAGCGGTAACAGTGAAGACATTGTGCGTCTAGTCAAGGACGAATTGGAACATATGCGCACAACCCTCGCTGGAACTCTTGTCAAGACCAGCTCTTCAATGGATCGTGAGGAAGTTCTTGATGCCATCCGAGAAGGACTGGCGTCGTCTCGTCCAAAGATCGACGGAAACGAAAGTATTTTGTCCAATACCAGCGAGCTTCTTGATGCATTTCAAGACGGCGTTGATGGTATCCGAGCCGATATCCAAAAACTAACCGATCGCCCTGTTGACCTCAGCGCAAGCTACGAAATTCTTGACGCGCTCAAGACAGGAATAGAAGATGTGCGAGCAGATATATCAAGACTCCATGAGAAGCAGACAGAGGACTCGGACACCGCTACCGCCCGAGGACAGGAGATGGTGATACACGACCAGAATCGCATCTCCACTGAAATCGAAGGTTTGAAGGTTATGATCACCCAATTAAGGATCAAAGTCGAAGCGCTGGACGGAATGGCTGGTCCACCCCCTGCAACAGAAGCTCGAGTACACAAGGACGATATGATGGAGCTTCAAGATGCCATCCAGCAAGTTCAGGAATCCGTCGATCGTAATCATAACGTTGAGGCACGAATCCACAAGGATGACCTGGAGGGTTTGTACACCGCCATCGACCAGGTAACCAATGCCGTCAATGAAGTTCGAGATACACCCCCTCCGGCACTGGTCATGCCAGAGAATGCTGCATCGAAAGAAGACACCGAAGCCATCGAAACACTCCTGAGGAACATTAAGGCTAGACTTGACGAGGCAATTTCACCGGAATCTGAGCCTCTGGCCAAAGCGAGTCAAGTCGACGCCTTGGAGTTTGCCCTCAGGGAAATGAAAGTAGTGGTCGACGAAGCCAGTGAGCGTGCAGCTGAACAAACTAACAAAGAAGATTTCACCTTGATCGAGTTGATGTTGAAAGACATTCAAAGCGGCATGGAAGAGTTCAGGTCCAAGCTAGAGGAATCCAAGACGGAACAAGGCAGTCTCGACAAGTCGGACCTGGAAGTGGTTGAGTCTCTGTGCATGGATATAAAGACCCAGATCGAAAACATCAAGCTACCAGATCTGGGATTTCTCCCATGCAAAGATGATATTACCGACGTGAAAAATGACCTGAAGTCTTTTCGGGAGCAATTCGAGGCCGACAATGGCCTCACTGCGCAAGCATTTGAAGCGAGGAAGATTGAACACGGAGGCTTGGCCACGAAGATCGACGATGTTAAAAACATCATTGGCGATCTCCGAGACGAGCTCATCGGAAAGGTCGAAGGAAGTGCAGAGGGGATTGTGGAACTGAACAAAGTACTTGGAATGCACCATGATGATATGACCAGATATGCTACGGCAGCCAGCATCGAGGAGATGTCCTCCATGCTCAAAGACGAACTCGAACGACACATGGACCACCAATCTACCATTAAAGCGCAGATGGAAGAACGAGACGCTACCTTATTCACCAAGCACGAGGAAACCGGTGCGGAACTCAGATCTGTGATCGAGGACAAATTCAGTGCACTCATGACCAAGTACGATGATGCTCAGCTTGCCAGCGATGCGAAACTGAATTCTCTAGAAGAGCGGGACAGTGCGCACTTGGAAGCTACAAGCAGCACGAAAGCGGTCGTGGACGATCTCAAATCGCTCATGGACACTTTAGGGACAACCGTCACGGAAACCTATGATCGCATCTCTGAAGACTCCAAAATCGTGTTTGGTTCGATCGAAGAAACTAACTCGAAGATGGACAACCTACACACCGCCAATGCCTTCGAGCATGGTCTGACTCGGGAGGAGATTGCAAAGACATTGGCAGCAGCAACAAGACTTGAAGGCACTCTGTCAGACCACCAACCTGCAGTACTATCCGCAATACAGGAAGTACTCGGAGTGGTGACCCAGCATTACGAGCATTCGCAACAGCAAACGGAGAACTTTGCACGAGCAACAGAAGAGATTAAATCTGGTGTGGACTCCATCCCAGCAGCTATACCACCCTTGTTGCCAGCACTGCCCGCTGTTGAACCGGTCAGGGAAGTAAGTAGCCAAAAGGAGTACGACGACAGCGAGCTACACGATAAACTCGATACTCTCCTTTCACATGCCAGTTCCGCGAAGGATTTCAACGATTTGCATGACAAGCTAGACACGCTGATCTCCCAGACTAACTCGTCGAAGGATATCAGTGAGGTGCATGACAAGCTGGACACTCTTCTATCCCATTCCGAGTCGGCGAAGGATGCCACAGAATTGCATTACAAGCTAGATACTCTTGTTTCCCATGCGAGCGAAGCGAAGGAGATCTTCGCTGGGCTGGAGGAGCATCAGAAGGAGTCTCGAGACTCGTTGGCCAACCTTGGGAAACTTGACGAGATTCACCAACAAGTGATGTCGACCGCGGCTGAGATTGCCGGAATGGTGACCACACAGGCAAGACTCATGGGGGAGCACCACGACTCCAAAGTTGCTGAGGCTACAGAAGCGGCGATTGCCTTGGAGAAGCGAATGGCCCAGAAGGAGAAAGTCGAAGCTGATATTGTTTACCTCAATGAAGAAAAGAACAATCTCCTGGAGTCCATGGCAACGTTGAGGCGGGAGCAAGAACAGCTCATTGGGCAGACAAAGAAATTGACTCGAGATGTGGCGAAGCTTGAGACTGCGCTGCAAATCCGACAAGACGAGATGCGCGAGATGAACGCCAGAGCAGAGGTCCTTGAGCGTCGCATCCTTGAGGGACTTGTCAACCAAGCTCGAGCGGTTAAGACGTCTTCAAAGACTATCAACAGATCAAGAATCAGCCCAGCCGAACGCGATGCATCCATGAGTCTCAAGCGCGTTCCAAGTACCGCTAGCACAGCTACAGCCAGAACTTCGATCAAGGGCGGAAAGTCTACCATCGGCAATGCTGTCGGTACAGCCTTGAAAAAGAGAACGCCGCTAACCTCAAACACCAAGGCAGTCTCAGCTCCAAGAACATCTGCTGTTGACCGGCGAATTCTGAGCACCAGTCATGTTACTGGTAACCGTGGTCGGAACACGCCCGATATGGCTTTGATGCTTGCCCCTGTGCCTAAAACAACCGGCCTGGTCAGTCTCAAACGCAGCCAGTCTGTAAAGAGCAACCCTAGCAGTTATGTCAACGGACGGAAGGCCAGCTGGAATGGTGTACCAACAGAGTTGACGGACAAAGAGAACTTTGACGTTGACCACGATGAAAGTGATGACGACAATCATAGCGAAACAAGCACTGAGAGGAGGACGAGCTATGGCACAAGCGTCATGTACACCGACAGCATGACATATGGCACAGGAAGCTCGTTGAGCAGAGACAGCAGGAGGTCAACCAGCTGTGGTAGCAGCATTGTTGGGACCATTAACGGACAAACGGATAGCATTGCCGAAGAGGATGAGGAGCTGGAGACGGACGAGAATACCCAAACGGCCGTGGTCCTACGCAACGCTCAGGCTTCTGGTAATGACGGTAATGACGAAAGTCAAGAGGACTCGATGGCACTGACCACGATGACCGGATCACGTGGCACCATTGTCGAAGAAGACATGCTGTCCGACATGCAGCCTCAACCCGCAGTTACCGAGGAAGGAATGAAGTACCATGGCAGTGACAGCGGGCTAGGGACCGAGCCGTTGACAGCAGGCTCGGAGAGCCATAACGAATACTTCCACATGACGGCGTAGGATACGGGCAGTTGAAGAGAATGGACATCATGAGGAGGGAGGCGTTCTGGAGTCGTTGTTGTCTAATGTTTCTTCTTGGCTAGATAGTCAGATGAAAGGGTAGTGAGCGTTCAGCGAGTATTATTGCAACACAGTGCCCGGGACGGGGTTGATGACGGAACAAGTATCGAGATACTCAATATGGACATTGGATTGACCTAATATAGCTTGTATGGCTCAAGGTTGCTGCTGACATGTGCATGATTCCCTTTTTGGTACAGCCTCGTTGGATGGCCAGGCAACCAATCAGCAGGGACGATCCTAAGCCTTTGGTCTGCCAACGTGATCACCTTCCTTCCTCAAGGCATCCAAGGCGCCTTTCCCGTTTTCCCCAACAATTTCCCGCCTGGTTGTGCGTCATTCCTTCCTCATTCGCTGCGTCTGCTACCAGCGAGAGCCCAGCAGCCCAGATGCACGATGCCACTTGTTTGATCCCAACTTGTACAAATTGGTTGGCTTCCCTCCTTTATTCTTCACCCTCATTGACGTCCAAAGTGACCTCCTTCCATTTCTACTAGACTCGCTCGACGACGACTCATCTTGCAGCTTCATCATTCCAGCCGCCGCACGCATCCCTCTCTCCCTCCCTCTGAACGATGCGAGATCCCTTTCCCCCTCCTCCACCATGGCTTGTTAGTCTGGTGACGCCCTTGAGCGAGACTCTCCATCTCCCTTCCCTACCGAACCACATCCACGAAGTCCTTGGAGCCTTTGTCCTGTACCAGACAACTCAGTCCATTCTGTCGCCTGTTCTCTCGAATTTCCTATTTCCCAACATCTACCCGAAGCTCACGCGACGTACTCGCATTAACTGGGACGTACACGTGGTGTCTCTGCTACAGTCGTGTGTCATCAATACTGCGGCATTATGGGTAATGTTCAAGGACGAGGAGCGTAAGGGTATGCACGGCAGTGCAATTGAGCGGATATACGGATACACGGGTGCGTCCGGGCTCATTCAAGGCCTGGCGACAGGATACTTTGTCTGGGATCTTGTCGTGAGCGCGCGCTACCTCAAGATCTTTGGTCCAGGTATCCTAGCCCATGCCATCACTGCCCTCTCAGTGTTCGCACTAGGATTTGTAAGATGTTTCGCCCCGAAAATTCGTGGTGTCTTCGCTGACTGAGACGTACAGAGACCATTTTGCAATTATTATGGCCCGGTGTTCATTCTCTATGAACTGTCGACTCCTTTCCTCAACATCCACTGGTTCTGCGATAAACTCAACATGACCGGGTCTCAGCTGCAATGGTACAACGGAATGATTCTTCTTTCGGTGTTCTTTGGTTGCCGTTTGATCTGGGGCACCTACCAGTCGTTGCGGGTATATCAAGATGTGTGGCATACGATGCACCTCAACACTCAATCAGGCCCTGTTCTTCGCGAGATCCCCGCTTCCCATTCTTCTATATTCGTCCCCAGAGACGGCCAACTATGCCTAGGTGACAAGAGCTGCATTATAGCTCAATCCGAAGTCATGCAGTTCACTGGATCACAGACGGAATCTGTTCCAGTCTGGCTGGCGGGGGTGTATCTGACTTGCAATCTGGTACTGAATTCGCTCAACTTCTACTGGTTTGGCAAGATGATTGAGGCAGTCCTGAAGAGATTTGAGGGTAAGCCCCACGAGGAGTTTCCTCGTGAACGCGAACGGAAGCAAAGCATTGTGGAGGCCGCGGCGACTGAGCTCGATTATGAGACTCTCTCGGGACCCAAGACGCCAGACGAGGAGGAGAAAGAGCCAGCCGTTAAAGGGAAGAGCACTGCGCTTTTGGACGGATCAGCGAGGAAGCGATAGGGGTATTGGACGCATCTCCGGAACGCTCTGACGCATCATCTCAATTTCTCCCGGTCGCAAGACTCTAGAGAATCTCCTAGACTTGGGGTCATTTTTTGTGGAGGGACCACTTTTTGCGTTATTCGTACATGGTTGGGCTCTCAGTCCTCAACGAGAGGGAAGGTGCATATAATGACTGATTCCGCCTTTCCTCGGCGAACTCGACCGCGGCGACGGTGTATCCCTTTTGCATTTCCTGCATCAGTGGCTCTCGCTTTGTGACTGTCCTTCGAGCAATGGAGCCAGCACTAAACCTTTGCTTTGACGTTTGTTATGGTATGATGGCTGGGAGGGTTGAACTCTGGGCACTGAAATGCTCAGAGTAAAGAGACATCAGAGAATCGTTTCATAATATACCATTCTCCTCACTCGCCGAGAGATGTGGCAAACAATAGGGTCCACAACCCCTGGTTCTGACGACAAGAACATCATCGAGGTGGTAGGTTGCTATGCTCAAAGAGATGCTTCAGACTGAGGAATACAACGCCGACAGCGCAAACACCCGATTCCTGATCAAATACAATCAGTCTAGAGACAACAGACCGAAGACTGCGAGACTATCCACATTATGGACGGAAAATTCACTTCAGAAACTGCAACATTGACACGCACGATCCACCAGGTGTCGGTGCACTCAACCATGTAACTACCAGCAACCCGAAATCCCACACAGTATGGACCCTCATTGTCAAGCCCATGCTTGTGAAAGAGACGACGTTGCCAATGTGAAGTTAATCAGGCCAGGTGTTGCTTGTCTCACAACTTTTCACATGCGTCCTTCATTCGCCTGTTGTCGCCTGTGCTCCTCCTCATCTTCTGCGAAACAGTCTGCGCACTGAATGACGAGTATGGACTTTGAGTGTACAAGTGAAGATTTATTTTGAGTAGAGATGAAGTGGCAACCGGACTTCACCTAGTGATAGGAGGCAGTGATGTGGTGGCTACCTATAATAAAATACTTGCATGATTATTTGTAGTTGTGATGAATCGTTCCTCATTTCTCTATTCTTGACATTTCTCTCACTGCTGCTGCGCGGTCAACGACAGAGCCGATCAAAATGAAGTGTCTTGGCTTGGCCACCTCTTTGTACCTTCTCATCCTCAGCCCAGCGACTGCTTTGGCCATCCCTTTCGACTTCAACGACTCCAGCAACAACATCACCAGCCCGACAAAGGTCACCCACCTGACAAAGGTCACCCACCTCAAACTTGAAACCAACTCGACGAATCAAAAAAGTGCCCAAGCCTGCAAATGTAGTTTGCTGCCAGGCTACAGCAAGGCGTGCTACGAGAACTGTGACTGCTGTCCAAGCTGGGGAATGAAGGTAAAGTAGCCATCTCTTTGTTCCTTGGGACCGATGCTCAAGAAACAGAAGTGGTTGATCTGGCCATGGCTGACCTATGGGACTCGTTCTAGGCTTGCTGCTGTAATCTGGGCTCAATATTCGACGCCCCAAAATGCTCCACCGATTGCTGTACTTGATAGTATCCGAACGAGAGATCGCTGGAGTCGGTCAGGACATGGGGTCGGACTTTCACAGAGGCTATTTGGAGGTGAAGCGGGGAGCGGTGGGAGGACAAATGTTCGAGAAGGTTGCGTACCGATACCCGAAATGGTGAAAAGGACAGGACAATTAATATTCTTTGGGACAGAGCTGGGGGGGATAGACATGATGAACGGTGGCTTGATCTGATCTCATCAGGGTTGGTGGCGATGGTTGCCCAATCAACAGATACACAAAACATTGCGGGTCTGGAGTTTCGATCCAAACCGCGGCAGAGATTCCGTGGGTCGCGCAGGGAAATCGAACAATCACTGGAACCCCTCGAAAGCGCCCGCAGTGCCGTAAATCAAGACTTCCATTGTTTCCATCTTTGCTTCTGTGACCTATTCATCACGACTGTATGCTAGTTGTCTGCTAGAGGTCCACCATGGCCTTTCTCTTTGGAGGGAGAGGGCGACAAAAGCAACCCGCCGAGATCGCAAGGTCGTTGAAAGACCTCCTAGTCAAACTCAACGATCCCAGTCCCAGTCCAAAAGTATGCAAACCTGTCCTTCACAATGTAGCTGCAAGACTGCATGTTGACTGCTCGTTATACAGGTGGAGGAAGATGTGGCCAAACACATGTCCCAGATGAAATTGATTGTCCAAGGCACTCCAGGTTCGAGCTCTCTACCAAACCCGGCCCCAAAAACATACTCGACGAATCCCCCTTCTAACCACCCGAGTACAGAAGTTGAATGCAGCCCAGAGCAAGTCCACCAACTCGTCCACTGCATCATTCAAGAAGACATCCTCTTTGAGCTGGCAAAATCTATCCGTCTGCTGCCCTTTGAAGCGCGGAAAGATGCCCAGATCATCTTCTCTCATATCCTGCGCTACAAGGCCTCGAACTCTTCGTCACAGTCCGGGTCGTCGGACCCCTCGGCGATTTCCTACCTTGTCCTCCAACGGCCCGAGATCATTGTCGAATTGTGTCGTGGGTATGACCATCCACAGTCGGCCATGCCGTGCGGGACCATTCTGCGACAAGCGCTGGCATACGACACCATTGCGGCGGTGATATTATACGACGAATCTCAACCAGGCGAGAAGGCGGTACACCTCAAAGATCTGGACGTCAGCCGCAAACAAACAGGCAAAGGCGTGTTCTGGAAGTTTTTTGAATGGATCAACAAAAGCAGCTTTGAGGTGTCTGCTGATGCGTTTACCACTTTTAGGGTAAGTCAATGTCTGCCCCCTGTTCACTGATGCGTGTCATTGTACACGCCGCTACTACCGGTACTAATCTATGCGGGATCTCAGGAAATCCTCACCAAGCACAAACAACTCGTCTCACAATACCTGGCGACCAATTATACCCTCTTCTTCACGCAGTACTATAACCCCATCCTTCTCCTATCGCCTTCGTATGTCACCAAACGCCAGTCCATCAAGCTGCTGGGCGAACTGCTCCTCGACCGCAGCAACTACATCATCATGACCCAATACGTCTCGAGCGCCGACCACCTGAAACTGACCATGACGCTGCTCAAAGACGACAGAAAGATGGTCCAGTACGAGGCCTTCCACGTGTTCAAGGTCTTTGTGGCGAATCCGAACAAGAGCGACGAGGTCAAGCGGATCCTGGTCAAGAACCGAGGCCGGCTGTTGAGGTTCCTGCCCACCTTCCTGGAGGGGCGGACCGACGACGACCAGTTCCTGGACGAAAAGAGCTTTTTGCTCCGGCAGGTCGAGATGCTCCCGGACGAAGAGTCTCTGGAGAAGGAAAGGCAGAGCAGCCAGAGCGGTGGGGCGCCGGGCGAGGGAAGCGGGCAGGTCAGTGTCGGGGCGTGATCTGACTGACTGACTGATGACCGATTTAAACGCCTCGATTAAGTACATACACTAGGTACCTGGGATGGGGACACGAAAACTTATGTACGCCGTCATTGACTGGATCGATTGACTGGCTGATTGACTGGTTTGATATACGGACCCGCACTGGCGTTGGCGTGGGCGTCAGTACGGAGTTATCACTGCTTGTTTGTGCGTCTGATTCTGGTTCTGGTGCGCCGGATAGCGTTGGTGTGTGGTGTTTATGAAACTTGTAAAAGATGTTTCAGCCGCCGTACCTATGTAGATTAGGTACCTAGGTATCTAGGTAGGTAGGTAGGTATGTGGTGGATTGTGATGGCGTTTCCACTAGAAAAAAACAACAAGGGAACTTTGAGGTGGAGGTCCTACCTCACCTCGTACATACTAAGATAGGTATGTATGTATGCATTACTATCTACCCATCGCTTTCCTAGTACCTACGTAGTACCTACTGCACGTACTGAGGTTCCAGGTGCATTTCTGTATTTATCTTACGTGGCTACCTACCTACCTACCTACCTATTCACAGTACCAGTACCAGTACCAGTACCTACCCACGTATCTGCGCATTATATATATGTATGTATGTATGTACGTCCTAGTAGGTACTGGGCCGTGAGACACTGTCTGTCTATACTATGGTCATGTGAGGCGATGCGGCTTAACTCCATTTTATTATTGCTCCCGTTCGGGTTCGTCGTCGAGAAAAGGTATTTTGAAACAGCAGGGAGGAGTAAAGGCATAGTAGGGTAAATAACAGTTGCTTGCTTGCGGCATGAGCAAGGAACCTCGGGAGCCTCGAAACCTTGGGAATAATTGAGGTGATAGTACGTGTTTGAGGTGATTGATAGAGTGAAAATACATTTCAGATTTGGCGTTTACTTTGACGATTACTTTGACGTCCACTTAAAGACATTGACCGTGACCTGCTGATGTAGGTACTGTACCTTGTATCTCAATACCTTAGGTGTCCTACCTACATAGTACCTATCCTAATCATCCAAATAAGTGCGCACGTGTCTCATGCGTCGATACATATAAAAGCGAGATGTGAAGAGGTGGAGAGAGAGAGGGGGTCGGTAAAAGAAAAATCCATATATACCAACTACCTCCCAAAAAGCAAATGCAAAATCAAAACATGTCCTCATCGTTCACTTGCGCACCGTTAACGTGCCCTTCCTCGTCGCCCTGCTTGTCCTCCAGTCCAAGTTCACCCATCTCGTCACCTAACAACTCCAGCTCGACCTCCTCACCGACCCAGCCTTCAAACTCTTCCAGGCCCTTTTGCACGTGGACCTTGAACCGGATGACATCCTCCAGGAGCTTCTCGATGCCGCCGTGCAGCTCCTCGCGGACTCGCGCGCTCTCCTCGCGCATGCCCTCGTACGCCAGCTGCACTTCCAGCTCGCGCTGCTCAAGCTCCAGGACTCCTTTCTCCAATCCTTCTCGCATCCGACTGAGCTCCTTCTCCAGTTTCTCAATCGCCGAAGTCTGCTGAGTGTGCGCTGTCTGGCCATTCTCTTTCAAGGTCGAATACTGTCGAGACGCTTCCTGCACGCGATAGTTGAGATTGTCTATCTCTGTGTTCTTCTCATGCAGGGCCTCGGATATGTTGTCGAGGAAGTCACGGGCGTTGAGATCCGACTCCGCCGCGGCTTTTCGACGCTCATTGATTTCTTTCCGGAGCGAAATGAACGCATTACGAACAACACCTCGAAGGTCCAGGTTGAGAAGATGCATCGGCGAATATCCCATGTTTTGCTCGGCAAGCAGGCGGTCTGACTCAATCGGTGAAGCACGACTGCGGCGTGAATGGGATGTTGAAGAAGAGAAACCCTGCTCGGACAAGTTGAGGGAGAGCTCGTAGTCTACGCCCTTTGCGTTGACTGCCGATGAGGGGATGAGGGACATCTGGTAGCCCAAGGAATTGTATCGTTTGACAACTGCCTCTAGATCTTCCAGCTTACGAGCAGTTTCGTCTTCCTTCTCAAGGACCCTCTTATTGACTTCATCGAGCGCAGCTAGAGCGTCTTCATGGCTCTTTGCTAGTCTCTCCCGCTCTGTATTCATTCGGTCAATGTCCTGGATATTCAAGCCTTGTCGGTCGACCGAGTGTTGCAAATTCTGTCGTTCTTGCTCCGCGACTTCCAAATCCGCCTCGACCTTTTGGACTTCGGCGTCGAGGATCTTTATTCTCGAATCGTACTTTTCAATTTTTGCTTGGACATTGGCATTGTATTCCTCAAACTTCTTCTTGTCATCTTCCAGGATCTTAAAATGCTTGTCCAATTTAGCAATGTCAGGCGCATTGCGCTCGAATTCGTCAATCTGTGCTTTGAGAGCTTCATGCTCCGCCTCGTATAGTTTGAGCTCCTCGGCATGTTTGGCGTTGATTCGCTCAAACTCATCTGTCATCGCCTGGATATGTGGTTGAAGTGCGGCTTCTTCACTCTCTTCGTCATCTTCTGGGCCCATTTGCAGCCAGTCTTGGTAAGCGCCGAACAAGAATCTGAATACGATGCGATCACTGGAAACATCGACCCCAGCCTCCGTACACGCATCATCATAGGCACCGCGGGTAAAGTTGTCCAGCATCTGAGCCAGCTGCATCATCCAGTGCAGCAAGCCCAGGAAGCGAGGCCAATTCTGACCACCCACCGCGACCAAGTGTGACTTCGTAATGTCTCGTTCGTAGGGATATCTCAGCTGTTTCATGATTGGAGGGACTTCGGTGTCGATGCTCTTCTGAAATTTGTAACCTGGATCAATGCGACGGTACAGCCATTGGAACATGAATGTGAAGTCCTTCTGTGTTGGCGATTTGACAGAGTTCTGGGTCAATGAGTGTTTCATCTCCAACTCGAAATTGTTCTGCGTCAGATAGTCGAGCAATTCCTGGCTCAGTCGTGCCCTATACGACGAATCTCTCAATGGCCTTGGATCTTTAGGTGCGCCTGCTGGTGCGGGCGGTTGTGAGAAGAACGACTGGTGCGCCGTGGGGCCATGACCAGAGGGGCGAGAAAAGATGCTGCTTCTTCTCTGCAAACCCTGCGATGCTGGTGTCTGAGAGCCAAACAATTGGTTTGGCGCCAGGCTCTGTCGTCCGGTGTGTGTGCTCCCAAAGATATTATTCGAGACCGACCGCCGAGCAGTCGACATGCCCATTTCCGCCAAGTTACCACCAGACGAGGAGCGATGAAATATGGGTTGTGCAGGGCGCTGAATGCTCTGGTTTATCGACGTGGATCGCACATGGGAGGCGGTATACGGCGCATTTCGTAGTTCGGCGTTGGAAGAGGTGCGCTTGACGGCAGACGCGGGCTGAGGAATTCCCGAGAAGTTTGTGATGTTACCCAAAGTCTCCCTTGGTCGGCGCACGCTGAACAAGCCCGTAGGTTGCGACATTGTGGTAGACGGCTGGCGATCGCGTGTGTTGGAGTCTGTAGTAGAGTACACAGCATGCAACAAAATTGTTCGTACCGGCGCCTTGACTTAACGGCACTGTCAATGTTAGTCGCAATATGACGTGGAATGGTTAGTCGTAGAGATGGATTATCGTCCGCAGCCCACGCGCTTGACATACATGGTCCACAAGGCGGACGTTGGGTACAACAGTGAACGAACTAGGCTAGCTCTCAACACGCTAATTCGGTATCGGTCACCACAGCGACTAGAACCCGAGACATCCCACGTGACTATGTGCCTCGGCTGGGAAGAGATTAAACTCTGAGAGCAGGAATAATTGAAGATGACGGGTGGCTGGACACCATCATTTCCTCGCAATCGATTGAGGCTCTTCTATCACCTGCGATTCTTCCATCCAGGTCTCTGTCCCTGGCTCATGGTATCTCCACAAAGTCAACTTTGAATGACTTAGCTCGAGGGATACCAGCTCGCCAACAATGGCGCCCCGCGAAGACCTAGTTGCATCCGCGGTCACGTTCCTCCAGGACCCGTCTGTCGCTTCTGCTCCCCTCGAGAAGCGCATCGAGTTCCTCAAATCCAAGAATCTCACACAAGAAGAAATCACAGTGTCTCTTGCCCGTGCTGGCGGGGATGCAGCTGCCGTCTCTACACCGTCGCCACAAAATGCTCCCTACTATCCGCCTCCCAGCGCCCACGATGTCCGAGGTCCTCCGGGTCCCAGATATCCATACCCTTACAATCCGTATGGGGACTGGCAACCTCCACCGCCGGAGCCGCCCAAACGAGACTGGAGAGATTGGTTCATCATGGCTACCGTGGTCGGTGGTGCGGGATACGGCATGTACGTCCTTGCGCAGAGATACATCAAACCATTAATATCGCCACCCACACCACCACAACTGGAGCAGGATAAAGCCGCCATTGACGAGCAATTCAACAAGGCATTTGCACTGCTCGACACATTGTCTTCCGATACTGCTGCATTGAAACAGGCTGAAGAGGCTCGAACGCAAAGACTGGACAGCGCCATTACAGATATCGAAGAGATTGTCGCAGAACTGAAAGCGGCAAATCAGAAGCGTGAAGACGATGCGCGACGCATGGAGGCAGAAATCAAGACCATGAAAGATGGTCTGCCTCGCTCTATTGACAACGTACGAGATGCGAGCGAGAGGCAGTTGAAAGAGTTGAGCACCGAGTTGAGCAGTTTGAAAGCCCTGATGGGAAATCGTATGGGTAGCGGCTCTGCAGTCTTTGGAATCCCACGGGCACAGCCACCGACAATGCCAGGCTCAAACGCTGCCTCCACGTCCAGTACCCCAGCACCACCCCCTTCAGTGGAGAATGCCCCTGCTGGTAGCGGTGTATCTGCGCCTCGGCCAATACCATCGTCTACGAACTCAACTCCACAACTTCCTGCCTCTAACCCGACTCCGGTGGCAACATCTGGAAGCAGACCGACATCTGGCACCAAAGCTTCTATTCCGGCCTGGCAGATGGCGGCACTCAAAGCGGCAAATAATCCTAGCCCGGCGGCTGCGAGTCACGGGGCTAATGTACCAGTGGCTAATGGTGCATCTTCTGGATCATCTTCCCAGCAGCAGCAGCAGCAGCAACAACCTGATGGTGCAGACGCTATCGCTGCTCTTAACGCAAGTTAGATACCCATGCTCCAGTAAAATCAAAATAAGTGTTGTCTTTTTTGTACCCCGAATATTCATGGCTCGTCTCCACCACCGAAGCGCTGTCGTGCAATCTCTTTGAAGATGCTCATGGTTTTCTCTTCCTTTTCTTTAATCGCCTGTAACTTGCTTTCCCGCTCTGCGCGCCTGGCCCGCAGTATTTCCTCTCTGCGAAGCTCCCTCTCGTTTTTCTTTCTTTCCTGCTCCTTCTGCAGTCTCTTGAGGTCTGTCAGACCGTCCTCGGCCCCCATGAGCTCGGAATCCATAATTTCTACATCGCCGGACGCATCTTTCGAAGCTGCAAAGGAGCGATTGGCCTCGGCGCGCTCGCGCTTTTTCTCCAGTTGGCGCTCGCGGCTTCCCGCCTCGGCACGCGGTACAAGTTCTTCGAGACGCTCTTTCTGAACTCTGCGATCTAGATGACGTTCGTGACGAAGTTGTTTAGTATGCTCTCGCCGGGCCACATCGGCTTCTTCGGTAACCTGCTCGTCCCGTGCACGAAGGTCATCGAGGGAAGGTACGGAGGCTCCCTGCGTTCGAGACATGAGAGAGTCGTCGTGCTCGCCTCGCGTCGTGAGCGATGAGGGTAGGGGAGGACCAAAATCTACTTCTTCTTCGCTGTCCTCGTTGCTCTGGCTCAGCGGTCGAGCATCAGATGTCCTCATCTGACCTGGTTGTGTGCTCGTCCTGCGAGGGGAGGGCAAACTTTGACCTTGTGCTCTTGACTTGTCTAACGTTTCGGGATCGTACCAGCCTTGTGCAAGCTCTCCACGATTCCTGCCATGTAAGCATGCGTATTGGCCAGATTGTACGTCTCCCACACCCAGCACCGGCAGAGTCAACGTGCTAGGCTCTAGGTATTTCTTTCTTACCATTTTCCAACAAAACTCTTCCATCGTCCCTTGACCTCCGTATCGTCCAGCTCTTCAAGGTTCAGTTGTTTATGGATATCTAGATACAGAGCGAACAAGGGGCGATATGCGGGAAGGTCATGCCGTGAAATCTCTCGTGCCCCATGTGGCAGTGGCTTGGGCAGCGTGGGAGACTTCTTGGTGTGCTGGCGAGACGGCTCACCAGATCGAGAACGGTAGGAATGGTGGGAGGATCTACGATCAGCATGGTGAGGAGAGCGCGACCTTGATCGCGACCGGTGACGGTGATGGTGGCGGTGGTGTTCTGGCATTATCCCTACGTCGTTCTTGTGGGAGGTGGTAGACGGGGTGACGGGTCGCATCGAAACGGGAATTCCTTTGAACAATGACATCGTCGTTGTTCTGTGGTGTTTGTGTTGTCCCGAAGTCATGCCGAGGTTTACCGTCAATTCGTGCTGCTCTAAGTTCACAACCTTCCACAGCAATGTCGTCAGCTCTCGTCAATTCTTGTCAGTGTTCAAGTTTCATATGCCTGTCCGACAAGTAGGTAGGCACGGCCAGCAGCACAGAGGTTCATCGAGCTACTTCACTCCTTTTGCAACAACCGAGGGATCGAGTGCTTGAGCCTGTAAATAACTGCAAACAACTCTATTGAAGTGGCCTTTATGCTGGCCAGTTTGGGTTCGTCACTTCCCACACTTCATGCGTCACCAGGTATGGAAGTGTTGCAGACGGCCTCCAAATTCTGTTTGCCATCTAGAACTGCAGCACCACTGGCACTGAAAACAGCTAGTTCCCTACCGATAATTGATCTCTCATCACATATATCTCTCTCACAGAGAACACATGACATTTCCTGTGTCGCCTGTTAAAGCGGCGCTATTGTTGCCAAGCATCAACGGATTCAGTCTTGAATTTTCCTCGGGTTCATCTCATCTTGTATACAGTAGATTGATTGCACTTCGCTCATAGACTTCTTTGCATTTGCATCATATTGGACTTGGTGTCCGGTCGATAGACTTAACCTTCGACATGCACATACTTGTACGCCACTCCCAAGCTCTAAGAGGGGAATTGATTGCTGACTCCCCAACCAGGTTGTAAATGATGACGGTCCTCCGTCTAATCAGTCGTCGCCATACGTTCATTCTCTGGTGACCGCCCTTCAAGATGCCGGGCATTTGGTATCAGTGGTCTTGCCTCACGTCCAGAGGTCCTGGATAGGAAAGGCACACATGGTTGGTCACACTTTAACCCCGACTTACTATCGCCCTGGTTCGGTCTTGAAAGACGACGGAACCACTTCGAACCGACCATTTAACGACGGCGGAGAGGAGTGGATTTTAGTAGATGGTACGCCGGCAAGCTGCGTCCAGATCGGCCTTCATCATGTGTTCAAGGACAGGGGGCCAATTGACCTAGTGGTCAGCGGTCCCAATTATGGCCGGAACACCACTGCGGTGTTTGCTCTGTCCAGCGGAACGATTGGTGGCGCAATGGAAGGCGCAATGAGCGGCGTAAAGAGTATTGCCTTATCCTATGCCTTTGATTCGAGAGAGCACGACCTCGACGTCATCTCTGCCGCTTCGAGGTTGAGCACTCGATTAATGGAGAAGTTGGCCAAAGAGTGGCCAGACGATGTGCATCTATACAGCATCAATGTTCCACTACGGCAAGGAGTGGAGAACAACAAAATCGTCTATGCTGAAATGATACAAAACCGTTGGATTAGCGGCAGCTCCTTCACCGAATTGGCTGCGGAGGAAGACAACGAAGACCCCAACGAGGAGGAGCAGATAATCCGTGAGACTGGTGAAGCTGATGGAAACAACAACACCAACCTCGTGACAAGACGAGTCCATCGCAGATTCAAGTGGTCCCCGAACTTCGCAGACGTTCGGAAGGCCGTTGTCGATGCTGGCAAGGGTGATGGTTGGGAGGTGCTGCAAGGAAACATCACGTAAGTGTACCAGAGGTGACATGCGTTGAGACCATGCATTAATAGCGATAGGGTCACTCCATTGATCGCGAATTTCTGGCACTTGCCTCATTACACCGGCGAAATCAAGCTGTGAGTAAGTTCACCTCTAACAAAGCTAGCGGTCAATCTGGGAGCAATTGCTGATCGATGCCTTGCGCAGGGGTGACGCTCATTCAAGCTCAATAGCCTGCAATATAGATTCGAATTCTCCGCCCGTATATGCACTCATTGATTACCCGGATGCATATGTGCAGCCTCTCATTCTGGATGCTCTTGGGCAGTTAGCTCCTATGCCCGTCAGGCGCATTTCTAACCTGAGTGACTTGCCAAATCCTTCAGACCGCGTCTTGCAGTTCACCAGTTACGAGAAACTGGACTTTGAGCATGCCATGCAGCACACACAGACGTCCCTTGTCTGCTCGTATGTCATCCGGAAAGCGCTCATTCGCAAACACTATCTTTCCAGTACCGTGTCTACCTGGCTAGTCAAACACCCGAGTAGCATCCTGACAAACCATTTCAAGCCGTGTGTCCATTTCGAACTCGACTATGCAGAATTCCTCGATGAGGCCCTGGTGGATGCATGGGACCTGAACGAGAGCTTGGCAGAGAACGAGAAGCAAGAGTCTGATGGTCAAAGAGAGTGGTGGATACTGAAACCCGGCATGAGTGATGGGGGCAATGGTATCAGACTATTCTCAACTAGCAGTGAACTGCAAGCCATCTTTGAGGAGTGGGAGCAAGATGCGCCCGATGCCGATGCCGAAAGTTCGAGCGAAGAGGACGAGTCCCATCAGGCTCCGGGGAGCAAACAAGGCAACCTCCTTGAGGGTAACGCAATGACATCCCAACTCAGACATTTCATCGCTCAACCCTACATCGACCCCCCATTACTGCTCGAGTCCTATGGCAATCGAAAGTTCCACATCCGGGCCTACGTGTTAGCCGTGGGAGCTTTGAAGGTGTATGTGTACAAGGAGATGCTAGCTCTGTTCGCAGCGAAAGGCTATCAGCCACCCACTTCTGCCGCAGATTCCGAGATGCTTGACCTGGCACAACATCTGACAAATACCTGCTTTCAAGATGAGACGACCAAGAGCACCTCCGTCCATCGATTCTGGGACCTACAATCTCCTGGGATGCGTGCAGACTGGAAAGACGCCGTGTTTCAACAAATCTGCGATATAACTGGTGAGGTATTTGAAGCTGCAGCTCGTGAACAGATGATTCACTTCCAGGCGGTGCCCAATGCTTTCGAAATATTTGGCGTGGACTTTCTGATTGACCGGGAATGTAATGTGTGGCTGCTGGAACTAAACGCCTACCCGGACTTCAAACAGACAGGACAGGATCTCCAGGATGCTGTGGTTGGGGGCCTTTTCCAAGCAGTGGCCAGATCCGCAATCGCGCCCTTCTTTGGTTTGACTGGATCTGGAACGACGCAGATGCCACTGGTAAGGTCGCTCGATCTAGGCCGCTGCTGAAAGGACTCTGCCGCGTCAAGATTGAGCGACCTGCATCTCATCTACCGAGCAGACGCACTGTTTGTGCTCGGCGATCCTTCCAGCCCTTCTGGGCGATGTTGTGCAACATTGAATTCCAGCTGCCGACTGGCTCTTTGGGCGGATATGGTACTTCGGATGTCGCGGGACCTTCAATCTTTCTGCAACGGATTCTTTCGATCGGTTCTGATACGCTGATCCTTGTCTGCGGGCATCTGAATATTTACCGATCACCAATCATTGCCGCAGACTCGCTTCCTGGATCTCTAGCACTATTCCTCGCCATTGGTCTTTATGAAAGTAGCGGATGCCGATTGATCAAACCCCTTCTCATCTGTCTCCAGCTGAGGGATGCAAGGCAAGCTAGTGAATCTGTGAGATGACCCCTAGGGGCGGAATATGGGCCTCAGACCCCCTTGTCGAGGTTGCACAGCCTGTTGTCAGTGCGGACCTGACACCATCCCGCTAACATTCGCTCGGAGTCTTGGGGAATGCCTCGGTTTTACATCAGCTTTGTCCGGCGAGGTTGTAGAGACCTCCTCCAGTATCTGATATGTCAAAGGAGACAAACCGATCGTGTCACCCTCTATGGCGAGGCTGCAAAGAATGCAGCTAGCCAGGATGAATCAACGTCCACCAAACTTCAGTCATGAGACAATTCAGTTAGCATCCCATGTATTTTGGACCCGAACCTGGACTTGGGGCGCACGCAGTCGTAAATGGTGCGTCTCAACATGGCTACGCCCGTTTGTCCCAAACCTGAACGCTCCTGCTGCGAGGAGGAAGCAGTGCCTCGATACTTGCCAAACGAGCCCAGCTCGAGCTCCAGCCTATTTCACCATCACCTCGATTTACCCTCAGTCTGTTACTGTCCTGATCGTGCTCGCCTTCAATCTTCGACCTTCCCCAGCAATCCATTCTGTGGTATCAGGAAAAAGTATTTGTATTGTCGATCAGGCTGCCTACCCATCCGCCTTCCACCAGGCAGACACCACTGCTCTCACTAGCGCTTATTACCGCCTCTTCCTATACAGATCTTCCGTTTCCTCTCCTACAAGACCATGAGCCTTACCACTAGCGAAACAGCTACTATGTCTTCTTACCCGGTTGTCGTTCTGCGGGTGTTTCAGCTCCTTACCGTCGTCGCGCCCACCACCTTCCTCGCCGCTGCCACGATCGTCAACTCATTCTCTGAAACCAAAGAGCCCAAAGAATCGAACCTGCGCAAGTTTCAACTGGGCTCAGCTTGTATCGCCGCATTATTATCTTCTGCAGAGGCAGTGATTGACATTAAGAGATCTGACCCATACCAAATCTCCGACCCGGACGCAGTCTATGCGCTCTTCCTTAGTCTGGTCTGGGTTATCCTCTCGCTTAGTCTCGTTGGAACTCCCATCAGCACGTCATACCCTCATATTGGAACTTGGACGATTCTCCTTGTCTGCCAAAGCACGGTCTTTGCACTATCATTGCCTGGTACATCCTTGAAAGACAGGTCCCTATTCGCACGATCCATTCTTCAAGGGGCCCAACTAGCAGTTGAGATCGGGCTCCTCGGAGACAGCCTTTTGATTCGCTTCGTACGAGGAAAGGAAGTTGTAGGAAATGGCGATGAAACGCGACCGTTGCTAGGAAATGAATCAAGTCCGCACCCCTCGGGCTCACACGGGGAGACTCAGACGCCAAATGAGGAAGAAACGGACAGACAGCGCATACGAACGAGGCCATTCTGGCAGTACCTGGGCTCTTTCAAACTCTTTGTGCCCTATATGTACCCAAGGTCTTCACAAATGCGGATGTACTTTGGTGGGATGTTTGTCGCCAATGTCTCGACAAGGATCGTTACGATTGCCCTTCCTCTCAGTCTCGGCAGTGTCATCAACGGCCTTGGAGAAACGATTCCTTGGAAGTCTATGGCTGTCTACGTGTTTCTCTGGTTTTTGATGTCACACGCAGCTCTCCCACTCATTGAAACCTGGCTATCATGGCGGGTAAGGGCTGATCTGATCGTCGCATTACAGCGGCATTGCTACAGTCACATCATGAAATTGTCCGCCGACTTCCACGATTCCAAGAGATCTTCAGTCATCTGGCAGACGACGAGCCAAGGTCAAGATGTGATTGACTTGCTCCATGACGGTTTGTTTCAAACGTTGCCTACAATAGCCGACTTGGTCTTTGCAACCGTGGTCCTTACATGCCTCTTTGGGCTCTACATGACCTTTATTATCACATCAATGTTGGTTCTGTTCTTCGGGCTGACCTTCAAGACGCTCGTGAGGAAGCGATCTATGCGTCGATCTTGGGTCGATGCGTATCACGAGCAGTATTACCAGATGAGCGAATCCTCACTGAATTGGTCAGCAGTATGCCACTCTGGACGCATCCCTTATGAAATCCAGAGGTACAGGGAGAAAGGCGACACTACTCAGGACAGAATGCTGATTTTGTGGTTCTATGAGTTTTGGACCCAAGGTCTGCGCTACCTGATACCTGGCATCAGCTTTGTGGCCGCATGCAGTGTGGCAGCCCTGCAAATATCACACCATCAGCACAAGATTGGTGATTTTGTGGTTCTGATCACATACTGGGCACAAGTCACCGGCCCCTTGACCACTCTGGCAAGCGCAACATCAGGTGTGACTGAGAAGCTCGTCAACGCAGAGAAGCTGGTGTTGATACTGGAAAAGAAGCCACGCATTCAGGACTTGCCAGATGCTCGACCCTTCGTGTTCCTAGAAGGCGCAGTCGAGTTTGAGAATGCGTCTTTTTCTTATGACGGCAAACGACAAATCGTGAAAGGAATTACTTTCCGTGCAGCGCCTGGGAAGACTGTGGCGTTAGTCGGACAGACGGGGGGCGGCAAGAGTACCATTTTGAAACTACTTTTTCGGTTCTATGATGTTGATCAAGGCCGCATCTTGATTGATGGACAAGACATCAGACACATCAATCTGGAAGCTTCCGCAAACACATTGGCATGGTTCCTCAGAGTCCCGTCGTGTTCAACATGTCAGTGCTGGACAACGTTAGATACCCTGATATTGACTGTACGGACGAAGAGGCTATGGACGCCTGTAAAGCAGCAGCCCTACACGACAAAATCATGTCGTTTACTCATGGTTATCATGAAAAGGTAGGCGAGCGTGGCACCAAGCTCTCGAGTGGTGAGCTTCAGCGGCTTGCAATTGCGCGGGCGATCCTCAAAAAGGCGGACATTTTGCTCCTGGACGAAGCCACTAGCAGTGTTGACAGCATCACGGAGAAGAAAATTCAAAATAGCATCCGTCAACTATGTGCTGGCAAGACCGCGTTTGTGATTGCACACAGGCTGTCTACAGTCGTGCATGCCGATCATATTCTCGTGATTGAGGACGGCGAGATTATCGAGTCTGGTACACATGAGACTCTCATCAAGCAGAACGGTGCTTATAATGAGCTATGGAGCAGCCAACTTCGCCTGCAGGCTGGGGAGAGCAAGTCGAAGTCCCAATCGTGCTTCCCACCGAAAACAGATGCATTGGTCCTGGTCAACGATATGAGTTCCGGTGAGCAAGAAACCCAGACTTTGGTGGAGAGAACAATGAGAGGAAGTGAGAATGAAGATACAGAGTGCAGAGCTCCCGAGTCGACCAGCGATCCCTCAAGCATCCACGAACACCAGCATCGAAGCCATCAAGCATCGCACGATGCTGTAGACTCGCGAGACAGGACGAACGCCAAACGCCTTGCGTGTGTGTTGGGTGCGAGATTGCCACGGTCAAAATCGCCAGGGAAAGGTGGATCGTCAGAGTCAAGCCTGAACCCCGACGCGCGCACATTTCGGCCTCGACGATTCCAGGATTATAACAACACTACAAGTTTTACAACTAGTGACCCCAGGACTGCGACTGAAGGTCACTACGGGACTTCCTTTGGCGCCTACTCAGCCAAAACCAGAATCGAGACGAACCTTTCCAATCAGGAGAACGACGTCAAGTGGTCGACGGCGAAAAGTCTTCGGGATTCACCCGACGTTGCTTCGAAACCACGGTCACCATTGCTTTTCCCGCTGAAACGAAAGTGGGTCGGGCAAGGTCGTGAGGCTTTGGGAAGTGACGAAGACCATTCCATTAGGAGCACATAAGCAACACATGCGGAGAGCGAAGGTGTCAAAGCCGAAAGTCCCGGTTTGCAAACCGATCAACCAGAGTTGGAGGAGACCACCGCACTCGCGGGAAACAATCGCCGGCGGTTGACTGCAAGCGAACCTTTTCCCCGGAGCATTGATGTTGAAGAAGAGTCGGATGGATCATCAGCAGATGTGGACGTTCAACAGTCAGCGAAATACTCGAGGCTCCCACAACCTTCATGCCCAAGAACTGTGTCAGCTATGGAGAGAAAGACGGGTGTGTCAAATTCAGAGGATGTGATGGAAGGGGACGAGGCTGAAGCATCCGCTGATACCGCAGCGACGAGCCCAACTATTTCCACTCCCACATCGCACCTGAGGGTCCCTGCCAACTCCCCTGCATAGAAGGGACAGGTCTAGCCTGTGTTTGATTGAGGTGAGGGCCTTTGATCTGCAATGTTCAGATTCTTAAAAGCATCAGATACGCTTCCGGGGCGATGACAAAGAGGATGCTTCTATCGGTCGTCTTGCCGGATGAAATATCAAATACATTCTGAGTCTGGACAGTGAATCCGGTGAGCATTATGGCGATGGATATTTTCACTCGATAGGGAGTATCAGAAATATGGAAGCAGGCAGCAATAAGACTGGTTTGTCAACATCGACTTGATTCGACGCCCTTTGACATCTGTATGTTGTGTATGCACAGGGTGGGGGGGTTTTTCCTCGGCCCACAAATCATCATGTTGTGAGGTTTTGTAACCTTCATTTTTGCATTCTTGCTCTTTTTCCACAACTCGAACCATTGACCGTCACCAGGCGTGCCTAATCTTTCCATTCATAACCATAACGCATCCTCGACGAGAATGTCTACCTCTACGAGCCGCCAGATCGGGAGCGAGGCCGAGATCTTGGAACTTGTTGAACACCGTGGCATTCAGGGTCACGGTATTGAACAATCATCAACACATCAACTGGAGGACAGTCCACCACAAGATGCTGTCCCGGTCGAAGATGTACCTCCAAATGGCGGCTATGGGTGGGTATGCACGGCCTGCGTCTTTCTGATCAATGCGCATACATGGGGACTGAACAGCGTAAGATACCCGGTTATGACTTGACGGAGGTCTAAAGCTCACGCGGGACAGGCATGGGGGATTTTCCTGGCCCATTATCTCAGTAATCCTACCTTTCAAGATGCATCACATCTCGAGTATGCCTTGATAGGCGGTCTCTCGATCTCTCAGTCCCTGTTGAGCGCACCTGTGGTGAACATCTCCACGAGGAGACTCGGCATAAAGGCCACGCTTCTTATCGGCACCGTCTTCCTCTTTGTGGCCCTTCTCGGTGCCTCGTATGCAACCGAGATATGGCATCTCTTCTTGACACAAGGCGTCTGTGCCGGCTGGGCCATGGGCCTCCTCTACATCCCAGCGACTGCGGTTCTGCCACAGTGGTTCTCGACCCGTCGAAGTCTGGCTATGGGAATTGCGTCTTCGGGAGCGGGGCTGGGAGGGCTGGCGTACAATCTTGCAGCAGGCCGTATTGTCCAGAGATTAGGTATTGACTGGGCTTATCGCATATTGGCGTTCTGCGGACTCGCCGTCAACGGGGTGTGTTCGCTTCTCCTCAAAGACCGCAACAAAGCCGTTCAACCTCTGCAGACTGCGTTCAACTACCGCGAGTACGCCCACATTGAGGTTCTTCTGGTTGTCATCTGGGGAGTACTTACTGAGCTGGGCTACATCGTGCTGCTCTACTCCCTGCCCAACTACGCGACGTCTATCGGTCTCACGGCGGGACAAGGGTCTGTTGTCGGCGCTGTCCTCAACCTTGGCCTTGGAGTCGGCAGACCCGTCATTGGATATTACTCGGATGCTTTTGGCCGCCTCAACATGGCGACGATGATGACCGCACTATGTGGCGTTCTCTGCCTCGCCCTATGGGTGCCCGCGAAATCGTACGGCGTCCTCATCGCCTTTGCCCTTGCCGCGGGCAGCGTCTGCGGCATCTTCTGGAACACTGTCACACCGGTCACCGCTGAAGTGGTAGGGCTCAAAAGGCTACCTTCGTCCTTTGGCGTCATATGTCTGTCCTTGGTTGTGCCCACAACATTCGCGGAGCCGATTGCCCTGGAGATGGTCGGTGCGTCAGGATATCTCAGCTCGCAGATCTTCGTGGGCTGCATGTTCCTGCTCGCTGCGACCAGTACGTGGGTACTCCGGTCATGGAAGATCAACCAGGTCGAATTGAAAGCCGCAAGCGAACAGAGGATCAGTCATTCTCCAGCAGCTGTGCAGGACTGGACGGGCCGTGGCCATTGGCTGACGCCGCAAAAGCTGCTCTGGTTAGGCAGGGTATGAACGTCAATCTTGTGCGAGAGTCATGGGCACTACGAGACTCAAACCCCGTGTTATCGAACGTACCAGCTCGGTGGAGCTGCGTTAGGGAGATTGTTCTTTGTTGAGAGAAACTGTCTTAACCCACGTTCTACGCCCCCTTTCCAGCCTTGCCCTCATTTTGGTCGCACCTCAGCCTTGTCTTGAATATCTCGAATGCATGTCTCCGGCAAACAAAGCCCCCAACAACGGCGTCAGAAATAGCTCAAGAGACTGCCAGGAAAAGGCACTCCATGCCCCAGGGGCTACCAAGAGATATCCTTTGCAATATCAACCTCATGTCTCATCATACGAAGCTCAACTTTGCTCAGCAACGCCGCTCTGCCGAGACCTTGGCTTCGTGCCCGTGGTCGTATACAAAAGCACACTGCCTCAGAGTAAGACCATGACAATGACCATGGCATCATCAGCGAACATCTTTGTATGCTGTCTGGGTCCCTGAGGCAGCTTTGGTCCACCGACCTGGTCATGTTCTCGCCTATATCAACCCTCTCGTCCCTCAGCATTTGTGCATTCCACCAGAACACACACTTTCCAGTACACCACACAGCAACACAACCATAACAGCCAAAAGCACCAACAGTTTTTTGAAGTTTTCCACCAACAGACCAATTCATCATGCACCAACTCCCCAGACCAGCCTCTTTTCGGGGTCTCATTCTCCTTGTTGCAGCGTTCGATCTCCTTCTCACAAGCACCACCAGCTACATTCTTCCGTCTTTGGACGCCGTTTTCTCCCTCCCTGACAGCCTGTGGCTCTGGGCGTGGAGTGCCCGCGAGTCTTTCCAAGACCGCTGCCTGATCTGTCTCAGTCTCAACTTTGCTCTCTGGATCTGCGACGTCATGGAAAGCGGCCACCTCTTCTCCTGGACGGTCAGCGTGCACGCTCGGCCCTCTCATGCTGTGAGCTTGGCGCCTTGGGATACGACCGCCCTCCTGTTCCTGCAAGCCGGATTTTTCGCCTCGACTGTGTCAAATATCACTTTTGCTCTCCGCCTGCGTGAGCTGAGAATATCGACGTTTGTGTATCAAGTCGTGCAGACCAAGGAACTCTTCCTCGAACTCTCTCTGCTCTGTTTCTATGCACTCCTGGCAATCCGGATCGCCTCGAAATGTTGCGCCAATGGTCTCGAAGTCAGCAGAGATCTTCCCACCTGCACAAATCTCGTCTATGAATGCCAGGTACCAGTTTATTGCGGTGGGCCAGATCCTTTCAAAGTGCCAGCCCCTGGCTCCTTTCCAGTCACCGACCCTCACAATCATCTCGAAAGCACCGAGTTTGCCCTGGTGGAGTCATTCTCAAACCCCATGACAGGAGACGGTCGGTCATCGCCCACCCCTTTCATCAACAGGGCCAGAGCCAGCGCCAGGGAATCCGTCTTCTACCTCCCGCCTCCAGTCAAGCTGAGCCGACCGACCATGCGTGCCCGCCGGGCCTTTCGACGAGTCAACCACGACAACCAGCGTGTGGACAATGGAGCGCTGACTTTCGACACTTGCGTGACAACCGACGATTCCTCCTCCTCCTATTCCTCCGCCACCGATTCCGACTACGACGCCGACACGGAATCCATGTCTAAGGAGCAAGTAAGACCACGCGACGTATTACATCACAACGCAACCGCTACCGCTACCGCTAAAAATGTTACTGATCACATGCGCGCCCTCACGGAACAGCCAGCCCAGCTCGGCCCGCCGCGGAGGAGTGACCGCCTCGGCCGGCGGAATGCCTGGGACTGGACCAACATTCCCGCTGTGCAGGGGTGACTCGTGAATGGTGCATGAACAGTGTCACGCGATCGTGGAGAAGCTTTGGCTCTGGCTCGCTGGCGAGAGGTTCGACGGAGGTGAGATTCACGGATGGGAGCAGGACAGGACAGGACAAGACAAGGGATGTACCCTATCCGAAGTGATAGCAGAGATGGAATACAGACGTGGAACACAGACGTGAATCATTCGCAAAGGGGGGAAAAAAGAAAGGAGAAAAGGGAAGGGAAGAAAAGTAGGGGGTTGATCAAGGGATACTAGTCATCCAGTCTATTTCACAACATAGCAGAGCAGAGCATGGCATGGCATGGCATAACAAAAAAGGAGCAGAAAACCACCGTTACAATACCATTCATTCAGTCATTAATTCCATCATCCCCCCAGCAGGCAGTGACGCCCATCCATTCAATGTCCTCTAAATCCTCTAAATCTCATGAGGGATTCTGTGATCGACTAGATGCTAGATGCTAGATGCTAGATGCTAGATGTACACCGACCAGTTCCGGGGAGAGAACAGATCAAGGGACAGACAAGGTAGACGACTGATATCGACACAGTGGACAACATCAGCAGCAACAGATGGAACGAGACGAATAGATGGAAAGAAATTAGAATTGTTCATGATGTGGGTATCCTAAATGTCCACGTGTCTACCGATAGATGGGCGCAAAACGACGCCCATCTATCCACACTGTCAACAGAGATTTTTTTGGTTTCCATATCCTTGTCACCTGTGTGTCCCTCTCTCCCTTTGACTAGTCGTACTTCGCTGGAGTAGTGCACAGTTGCTCGGCTCGTAATCCCAAATGTCAATGCCTAACCAAACAGCAAACAAGTCCTAAAACAACATCAACCGTAAAGGAAGGAAACTCGTAAATCGTTCATCGTCGGAGAAATCGTGAAATAAATGGTCGTTGGTGAGTCGTGCCCATTGGAACCAGGGACACAGACTCGCGTCGTGATAGGCCCCAAAGGGCTGAAATATGTCGAGCGTCGTTGATAGACGCGTCTCGTAAATGACAACAAGAATGGCCGAAAGTTCGTCGATTTGGTTCGTCGATAGATGGATCCGACTGTGTGACTGGAACCCTTTACTAGAGATGCAGACTTGTTGATCGTTCAATCAGTTCTCTTGTCGCTGAGTGTTCACATCATCAAACACCAATTTTACTGCGTCAAACTTCCCAGGGCAATTCGTCCTCCTCGCACCTCATACATGTCAAGTACCCCAACCCTCCGCCTCCTCCATCGCTCAGGCTCCTCAAATCCAGTTCGAGGCAGTTCCTGGTCAACGGTTTCACAATATCCCTGGCGACGTTCTTAATCTCATCAATCTTCCGTTCAAATCTCCGGAGATTTTCGCGGCTGTAGAGAGAGTGAGGAGATCCAGGGGGGGTCAGCTTGAGGAATCGTTTTAGCTCATCGTGAGCGAGAAAAGTATCAGGGTTGGCAGAACCAATCAAGCGAAAGATGCGGCCCGTGTTGATTGGTGATAGGGGAGGCGCATGAGGCTGATAGGGAGGCGGTGGCATGGCGTTCTGAGCGTTGGTGCCGTGCGGGAGAGGGCGGCCATTTGGTCCGGGCTGTGTGTTCGCATGTCCGCTGCCGGGTCGCGAACTCGGACTGTTTTTCAAGATCCCTCGAATCTCGGGCGCCGTATTTTCTGCCAACCATTGCCGCCAAAGGCTAACGGCCAGCCAGCCAAGGTAGTCATTTGACGGATTTACCCTTTCACCACGGGTCGTGGTCAGAGTCAAGCGAAACAGCTTCGTTTCGACCTTGTGCTTTAACTCTTCGAGTTCGTCGACTTTGTCCTCAATCAAATCAATTACTGACTGGGGCACTTCGTATCCTGCACCAGAGTGGTTGGGCGGCTTGAGATGGGGCAGGGCGCCTGGCCATTGCCCTACGACGTGGGTTAGAGCTTCGGAGAAGATGATTCGACTTCGTGCGAGGTAGCCAAGTTTGAGGTACGACGGCGGGTATTTTGCGATCTGCTTGAATAGCCGGGACGAGAAACGCAAGAGATGATGGTCGATTCGAGGTCCAACGACGGAAATGGCGTCGTACATGTCTGCCAGTGAAAGGAGAGCCTTGCATTCCGAATAGGCCGAGGCGATGTTGGACGAGTTTAGAACTGGAGCATAGTTGTAGAAGATGCGAAACAAGTTGTCATAGTCTCTGAGCAGCGGGTTCGTCAGGCATGGATCAGGAGCGGGCGCTGCAAGTTCAGCACTGGATTGAGTTGCTGGGCCGCGGTGAGAGAGGCCCAGGTTGGCCATGGAACGAAAGAAGGACGAGTGAATGGCTTGATGCCTTGGACGTTCTGGGGGAGAAAGTGGTGGCGGCGCCGGCGCCGTGGCAGCAGTAAAGAGATTGCCCTCGGGGGTCTTCTGAACCAGGATGGGTTCATCATCATCCTCCAGATCTTCCCAGTCGAGTTCAAACCTCCATCTCCTTCTCTGACCCAAAGCCGCTGGTGGTATCGGTGGTGGTTGAGGAGCAGGATTGGAGGGGCCAGGCGTCGAGCTGACTTGGGAAGACTCCTCTCCGATGACACTCAAGGCCTGATCGGTTCGTAAAGGAGACGAGAGATTGTGGCCAGCTTGGTGTGATTGACCGCGAGACCATTCTTCGCTTGTGCTGGCTTGAAAGAAACCCGAAAATTGTGCCAGCGTCAAACTGTGTAGCAGATATCTCTTCTCTTGTCCATCGCAGGCAATAACTATCTCGACATCTCCAGTTTGTGAGAAGAAGGGAAACTCGTTCTGCGGCACATGAGAGGAGCCACCGTGATGCGAACGTCCTCGATTGTGGTGATGTCTCGATCGCGAGGTGCGGGAAACAACAGAGGGTGCGGCTCGAGACTGAGAAAGAGAGCGTGTGTGAGAGTGGTCTAGGACCTCTGCGCGTGAAACCATCGGTGAGACTGAGATTCGGTTTGCTTGCTGGACGGGTTGAGATGGTGTTTGTTGTGGAGCAAACTGCTGGTTCATGTCATTTCACCCAAAGTTGCTCTCATGAGGAGCTGTTCGCATCCGAGGAACGCAATGGCTTCTGTATACCACGCGCCTTCGTCACCGTCACTGCCGTTGCCCGCTTCTTCTGCCTTGTCAAAACTGCCTTTGGACTGTCGCTTAGGCGTTTCCCACGGGAGCCAGGCGCAGCCTCACGGGTCACAAGGTGTGTCTCAACCGATAAGTACTTCGGGATTGAGCTTGTCGAGACAACTTTGCGAGTTGTCGCACTGCAGCTGATGGCCGGTTGAGATGCCTCGGGGATGCAGTGCCTGTCACGATGTTCAGCAAAGTCTCCCAACGTCTTCTCGTGTGTGCGCCATGGGACGAAAGGCACCGGGGAAGAAGAGGCTACCGCGGGACAGAAGAGTGGCGATAGAGCAGCAAAGCGAAGGCCGCATGAGGGAAAGTTCCGCTGCAGGTCCCGCTCGAGTCAAATCCATGTCAGCCAGTCGTGAGCACAGCTGAACCAAGGCACAAGCACAGTCAAACCAACGCCACGATCTCATTTGTGGCCAACATGATGCGCTTAATACCAACTGGAAAACAGGAGACGTGAAATAGACAGAGACCAGTCTCATCATTCGTACTGGCGTACAGACACCCCTTGTCAATAACCCTGGCAGCCTCGACAGGGTTACGTACAATGCCAGGTCGACTATATATCCTCTTCTAGATCTTTCAGAGCCTTTCTTTACAATTGCACCCTCGACGACACTGTGTCGGCCATTTCATCGGTGCTCTTTTTCCACCGCCAATCGCCATGCTGATTTGCGCTCAACAAGTCGCCATGCTATGCTAATTCAGGGTCAAGAAATGAACAGAGAGACCCGTAACGCCATAATCGACACTCGGTATCCTCACGAGCGCCTTCTAGAAGACTGCAGTCAGTCCGCTTTTGGACTGCCGTTTGCTGAATCGTTTTCTCCCTTTGAGCGACTCTGCATCGCCGCCCGAATGTTGCTTGTGCAGTATTCCTCGACCGGAATGGGACTGATTCACGTTATGAGGACTTAGATCCGTCGCTTGGTCAATCGTGCTAGCATGACTGGACAATGCCGAGGACGAGATATTGAGAGCGTCGTCGTCGTTGGAGTACGTGTTGTTGGTATTCTGCAGCTGCAGCGATAACGCAATCTCTCGTGCTCGTGCTAATGCATCCAGCCATTCCTGCGCCGCAACCGCCGTCGAAAACGCCTCGCCAGAAGGTGGCTTGAGGTCCTCAAAAACGTAGTGTCGGTCTTTCTGCTCAATGTGTTAGTGTTCACTCTCGGCATCAATCCCCCTAGGAACTTACGGTATCGACAATCCATTGGGTTACTCCCTTGGAATCTGTCGCGCTGGAATATTCGGTCCCTGGCGATAGCAGTGAGATTTCCGACTTTGACTTCTTCTCCTCTCCACCGGCCGCAGCAATAATGATCCTTGCACTCGATGTCACCATGACAAGCCTTTGCCGTTTCTTGTTGTTGCTGCCTCCAAACAACCTTGACAGTTTCCCTCCACCCTCGTTGCTGTGCGGGCTGTGGGGGTTGGGTGTTGACAACACATTTAGATTGCCTAGTTTGAGGATTCTCTCGTTATTTCTCGTGAGTACAGGAGACCATTCGATATCAAGTTGGCTCGGGGGCGGGAGTTCTGTAACCACTCTCGGCTGCGGCTTTTGATTGGGAGGAGGAAGCATGGTCGGATGTGTGCTGTGACCCGAGACAACATCAGGCGGAAAACTGTCTTGGGCACCGTTTCCATTAAGTTTTATGGGAGGTGCTGCTGGAGGAACATATGGTTTTAAGCGTGGTGCCTTCTGCTTCCACAAGTCGCGACCCCAGCGAACTCCGGTAAAGAAAGGGTGGTTCTTTGCATGCTCCAGTGATAACCGTCTTTGGGGGTCAAGAACCAGGAGTCGCTCAACTAGATCTCGAGCGACTTCAGGGAAGCCCCTGGGGAACTCGTAGTCGAGCGCAACGATTTTCTGGAAGGTCT